AAATGGATTTCAATATAGGTGTTATAAATACCAAAGGCTTTTTAGCTATCCAACCTTCACCCCTATACCTGGAATTCAATGCAAAAGAGGAACAGTCTTCCTCCATTTTTGGTTCTGCTTGAGATTCGGTGATCATCTCATCATCTGTGTGTATTATGACACCTGATGTATCTAGTTATGTTTTAAATATCAGATAAAATCTCACCGACCAAAGACCAAAAAAGGAAAAGAAAAGGTGAAGGTATATGTTTTGTCCACGTAGGCACGTGTCCATGTCTTTTTTAATCAGTGTTAACTTTGTCAAAAAAGGTGGCTCATACTTAATGGGACAAATCACTATTATATGCTTTGATTATCATTACCTTTTACCCTTTGGCAAATACTTTAGCAAAACAGATAAGACATTGTGTTTTTTTGTTTAGGTCGTGATACGACATTGTCTTTATGCATGAAATTTGGGAAGGCCAACTTGACCCATTCTTGACAGTTCGGCACAACCTAAAGTTAATATAATCTTAGAGGGGCTAGACCAAAACAGATACGACATTGTGTTTTTTTGTTTAGGTCGACATTGTCTTTATGCATGAAATTTGGGAAGGCCAACTTGACCCATTCTTGACAGTTCGGCACAACCTAAAGTTGATATAATCTTAGAGGGGCTAGACCAAAACAGATACGACATTGTGTTTTTTTGTTTAGGTCGTGATACGACATTGTCTTTATGCATGAAATTTGGGAAGGCCAACTTGACCCATTCTTGACAGTTCGGCACAACCTAAAGTTGATATAATCTTAGAGGGGCTAGACCAAAACAGATACGACATTGGGGTTTTTTGTTTAACTCGACATTGTCTTTATGCATGAAATTTGGGAAGGCCAACTTGACCCATTCTTAACAGTTTGGCACAACCTAAAGTTGATATAATCTTAGAGGGGCTAGACCAAAACAGATACAACATTGTGTTTTTTTGTTTAGGTCGTGATACGACATTGTCTTTATGCATGGAATTTGGGAAGGCCAACTTGACCCATTCTTGACAGTTCGGCACAACCTAAAGTTGATATAATCTTAGAGGGGCTAGACCAATTGGAAACCCAACTATTTTGAAAGACTTTTAATCATAGTAAAAACTCGTTTGAGAATTATTTTTGAATGACTGAAAGCGTTTTTAGAGATAATATTTTTGAAATCAATTCTTAATAACACTGCAAGTTAATTCTAGAAAAGGAGTTGAAGTGCTTCCTGTAGGAAGTACATAACTGGTACTTCTTGTGGGGACCTAGTACTTCTGAAACCCAAAATATTTTTCCTATAGTTTTAAGTCATTTAAAAGTACTTCCACATGAGCCATAAGAAGCCCCACTTGAGTAATGTTCGAATTGAGTTGGTTTAGAAACTAGACTTTGGGTTGTAGTTTGAGCTTGATTGGCAATGATTACAAACGGTATTACTACTTTAAATTGTATTAAGAGAAATAAAATCAGTTTGAACCTACGACGAAATGATTTGAACAGAAAAAGTCTACCCATCAGGGCATTCCACCACTTTCGATCTTGATTGACATTGAATACTACTTCATTCTTATATATTGAAATGATAAGGACAAGTACGTTAGTTATTGTGGTCATTAAGCATTCGATGACTAAGGATCTAGATTTTAAATAGACGGCTACTTGCTATTCATACTTTTTAAACGCATAAAACATGAACGATCAATCTATACATGCGTAAATGACTGATGCTAGTAATTCTCTCTTAAAAGATCTAGTATTTGACTATGATCAAAATGGCCAGACTTGAAGGTTCTTTTTTAACTAGTGATAAGGACGCTAGTTTGTACCTAAACAAGATGCTAAATTCTCAAGAAACAAGTGATCAGTTAACTCATCAATTATACATTGACGTAGTTGTCTTCGAGATTTTTTGTCTGCAGGTGTACACTTCTTCTGTAGAAACAAAACAAGCATCACCTTAGAGCTTGGCTTTCTTCTTACGATTCAAAGATACCTTTTTGGTTTTTCCCAACATTAATTCCATTGGATACATTGGTCGTTTCTTAATCTGGTGTTTTCCTTGCTAATAAATTAAAACTTGTTTTCATATTTATGTCAGCATCAAAAGCTCATAAAGTCAGCCAAATTGAACTACTTGGTAAGTGCTAGTGACCACTTAACGATACCTTTTTTATCAGTATTTTTGCTACACATAAGGCACAAATATTATTTTTTGGCAGCTAGGGTTGCTATTGATGATGCCTTCCAACTGGACGTCAGTTTTGTCACCAGCTACTGGATCTTTGTTCTTGACTTCTTTCACCTACAATGATGTCGTGGACTGGGATTGGTCCATCCAAACCTCTATTTAAATTTCATCATATTAGAAAAACAAGAAGATATATACGAGAGTATAGGGTTGTATCGCGATTCCCAGTCGTTGATTTGTTGTCATATGGTGAGAAAGATAAAACATGAACACATACAATGTAGTGATATAAATTTATAGAGATTCTCGATTGACTCAAAATGATCTATATATACTATTAGTATAAGGCTATATAGAGATTCTTGAGCGACTCAACCCTAAACTGGTGATAAGACAAATTTTCTCAACGATAGTGAGCTAAAACAAGTGCGCGATAAGCATAGTAGCCCCCTCGGGCATGTTTCCTTGTATAACCAAGCAAAGAGCTAGTGAAAGCCGGAATGGAATATCGTATGTAGTGTAAAATCAGATCCAAAGTTCTTTAGTATTGAAAGGTACTTCGAATTATTAATTCATCACCCAAATTGAACATAGTTACTGTGTATAGAATACTTTTATTTTAAAATTAAAATAAAAGTACAGACATGAATACAACTATTGTCAAAAGCCATGTGCCATTTGGGGAAGTTCAAAGTTGCATGCACCTCTCCAGGCCTTGGCATGGAAACATTATAAACATGTCGTGCAGCTGTGTACCTGCAGCATTCAAATAAAGTTTGCGAATTTAGGGCTTTTCCCCCCTTCTTTTTCCTTTTTCTTTGTATCTTTTTTCCAATTTTTGTTAACTAAAACCCTATTATATTTGTTAATTAGATGTAATATAATATTTGACAATCGCGAATAGTCATCTTGGAGCACCAAGATAATGTTTCCACGCCTCAGACGGCGGCCCCGCCGCCCCAAAATGTTTGTGTTTCTGATGACTCTGCATCTCCAGAAAGATCATGGGGAATCTTCCTGTGCATGAACCCAATTTAAGGACCATATATATGATTGCTCATTTGGTTAATAATATTATTCAATATTCATATTCTAAAAAATTGTCAACTGGCAGTGGAGTTAATCCATATTTAATTCGGCAGCAATATTGTTGTAATTTCATACTTTTGCATGTACATGGAGTCCAACTTCTGAATTCCATCAAAGTGGAGATAGATTTTTCATTGTGACCGAAATATGACCATATACGTTAAACAATATTATACAAGTGGAGGGACATTTGAAAAAAAAAAAAAAAAAAAAAAAAACTTTCATCCACTTGTATAATAACGTAGGGCGTATTGCTCCATGTTTGGACATATTGAAAAATCTCTCCAAAGTCTACGTGTTTCTTCAAATTCGTCCAAAACCAAACTTCTAACTTGTCAAATCCGTTGGAACACAAATTTCCTTCTTATAATAGCTCATTTTTTGGAAGTTTTAAAGATTTTGCACATAAAATCATCACAAGAAAAGTATACGTGTGTTAAGCCAATTTGTAAAATATAATCATGTTTGTACATAAAAGTAGTTTAGAATATCACTAAAAGAGGAAAAAGGAAAAACAAAATGTGTACGAGCAGGTCAGCACATCATATTGGTAGGCTTTGTACTCAAATTATCGATCAGACATAAGTGACCTCGCTGTCTAGGAATTATGGAGATTGTTGGTTACCCCATTGTGTTTTTTTTCAAATCTTTTTATTTTTTTGCTCAGAACGTCTCCATGGACATGCTTATATATAATTAGCTAGCATCAATGCTTTCAGAAAAAAAAAAAGTAAAAAGAAAGGAAAAAACAAAAGGTATCATTGCTCACAAACTCATTAGTGAATTCGCAGCATGCAAAGCATTGTAGATATAGATTCACTGGCTTGCGACCATGCATGATTTTGCTTGCTAAACAATGCTAACATGTACATGTATTGAGAAATTGCAAATCACGGTCTAGCATGTATATCTCATTAAAATAACAAAAAAGAAAGTTTATGCACACATTGTCTGCCAAAAGGAATGAAGATGAAAAAAAAAATTCAGGCTAATTCAGTAATGCAACTGAGTTTACTTTGATTTTTACCAAAACTGATAATAATAAAAAATTGCGAAAAGGGAAGTGGAAATGTTAATAATGTGAGCTAGAATCGTATCTTCTAAATATGAGATGAGGGATTCGAAGAAGAGACTCTTTGTTCTTTTTTCACTTCGGTACTTTTTTTTGTTAAATTAATAGATATTTGACTGATCAGAACTTAACCATGTCATGTCATGTAGCCAACTTTAATTGATTCATGTTGGGAAGTTTTATACTTTGATTCAATGGTGAAGCATCTGTCTCTCTCTCTCTAGATTTCGTATAAACAAAAGAGTTGCCTCCAACGACAAAAGTGGCCAGCATTCAAGCAATAAGGAAACTTTCAATCTCATTATTTTTTTAGGAAAACTAATGAAAATGGCTTGAAAACTTTGAGTTCTAATGATAAGGACAAAATAAAGGGTAAAGTGAATAGTACCAAGATTGAATTTTTAGTGAAAAAATGTAGTTTTTCGTTAAAGTAAACAGTACCGGATGCTTTTCGTTAAATTTTTTTTTTTTTTTTTGCTTCACAATTAAAGCCAATGAGAGAGAGAGAGACTTAGGTTGTTAAAATTAAAAAAATAATCATTTGAATTCAATGAAGGTGACCCACGTCTGTTTTTTTTCCTCTTTAATTTTCTCACAAATAGGACTTTGTTTAATTTTGGGGTGGTGCCATTTTTATATCTAGTTAGACTGAAATGCTTTTTTCCAATTCAATCATTTATCTCCCCTCTCAAACAACAACGTTCTGATTTTTTAATGACTGAATGAACTGGCAAGGCATCTTTGCTTGGATTATAAGGCTCCCTTTTTAAGCTAGCCCTCCCACTTTATTGTCCACTTAGGAATTCAGGCTTTCTCACTTTTGCTGCTCGGCTGAGTTTTGTTTGGTTTTGTTTTTGTTTTGAGGAACCTCGCCGGTACTAGAGAGATTTAGTTTGCGACAATGGGAAGACAACCTTGTTGTGACAAGGTCGGACTGAAACGAGGACCATGGACTATCGAGGAAGATCACAAGCTCATGAATTTTTCTCAACAATGGCATCCATTGCTGGAGAATGGTACCTAAACTTGCAGGTATATATATACCACTATTTAATTTGCATTTCGATCATGATCTTGTAGATTTCCACTCCCTTCATCCCTTGCTCCGTCTCGATCCTCATCAGATAATTTTGTATGGTGATCTAGGGTTGCTGAGATGTGGTAAAAGCTGCAGGTTAAGATGGATCAATTATCTAAGACCAGACCTTAAGCGAGGTGCTTTTACTGAAACTGAAGAGAATGAAATGATTCAACTCCATTCATGTCTTGGTAACAGGTACACAATTTGCCTACTTTTAATCTTCCATTTCCTTCTCTGAAATAAGTGTGATTAGTAGTGAGCCGTTGGTCTCTGAAATCTTGATATTAATGTCATGGCATGTGTACTAACTGATAGAGAGGGTGTTTTTAATATTTTTGTGTGCAGGTGGTCTAAGATTGCTTCACATTTTCCTGGTCGGACTGATAACGAAATCAAGAACCACTGGAATACCAGAATCAAGAAGAGGTTAAAGCACCTTGGCGTAGACGCTTTGACCCACAAACCAATTGAGGAAAAAGAAAGCACTGAAGAAAATAAAGAGACAATTACTCTACACTCAAACATTACTTCTTCATCGTCGGAAGAAGGACTACACGAGTCACCAAGCAATGGCTTGGAGGCTAAGATACTGCAGGATAGTTATGGAAATGAAGGGTTTCCAGAATCAGATGAGAAATTGCAGAATGAGGTTCAGTTAGCCCCGTTGGATGACACGAACGATATCTTGAAAAATTATGAAGTTTTTTGTGGAAGCTTGGATTTGGGAACATTGAAGTTGAACCAAGGAATTACCAACACCAGCAGCATGTCTAATTCGTATAGTACTTCTTCGTTTTCGATCGAAGATTCTAACAACGCTTCGATTTCAATAGCGGAATCCATGCAGGAAAATTGTCGGCAACATTGGGGTTGACACAGTCGATTCCATGCTGCCATGGGATGGTTTCAATAATCTCGAGCAAGACCTTTTTTTCTTTTGATCAAAACCGCCATTGATGAACATTATTTCCCATCACTCAAGCTACAAAATTGTTGCAACAGTTAAATCAGATGATATGATGATTTTGATTGAGAGTATTGCATTAATCAAATATGAAATTTCTAATTGTCTTGTGCTCAATGACTATGTTAATTTCATGTGTTTATCATTTGTAATTTCGACCGATATTGTAATCTAAACTACATGTAGAGGGTTTGTACCTGGGTGCTGCCGTCTTAGCCAACTTTACTACGTCTATGTCTGTTTTTTTTTTTTTAATGCGGAAGGAGGAGTAATATGTGGGAAAAATTAACCATGCAATTGCTTATTGTTTAGGTCGTGCTAATTAAGCACCGAGGATTAAGTGCAGTAGCTCTCAAGCTCTTATAGTGTATATATAGAAAGTGAAAGTTGTTATTAACACTCAAAAAAATCATTATACACTTCAAATATTTAAAATATAAATAATAAAGGAGTACAAAGTAACTTTTTTAAAGGGCAATAACAACTTCATTTCATATATAAGACTTTGATGCGTGTTATTTTTTTACTTAGTGACGCAGTACGAGCATAGAAGGATACCAAAGTAAGCCTTGTAGAACAATGTTCTAGAATCCACCAGATTTTGGGAAAAAACCAAAAGGTTTATTTGAATACGTCTTGAATAATGATGATTACAATAGCAGTCATAGGGCTTAAATAGACTTAACTCGACCCTTGGAAAGTTCAAGGGAGTTTTAAGGAATGTGAAAGAAGTAAATCGGACATAAAACGGAAACTCCATTTTTTGTTACAAACTTTAAAATGCGGTTTTCGAAGCCTAAATGACTTCGGATGGATTCAATCCATTATATTTCACAATAAAGCAGTGAGTTTAAACTGGGATGCCGTGCTCTTTTCAAAAAGCATTATGCGCCCAAATGCTCGAACGCTAAATCTCTAACTTCCCCTTATGTCTTTTTGTCTTCCTTCGGTCCATTTCATCTTCAATTCACTCGGTCATGTGTTCTCCATCACTTAATTACGTGCGTGCATTGTGCGAGCAAAGTGCGCAATGAGTCGACGTGGAATCTTACGGTCTCCTCCCAACAAAAAAGGAGAATCATCTGAAGCCACTGCCGACGCTATTCAGTAATATTCGTCCTGGAAAAATACAGGACATGATGCATATATTATAATTCAGTGTATGTTCAATGCAAATTAATGTATACTAATCTGTATTTTTAATTAGTATAATAAATTAAGGAAGTTGGATAGAATACCGGTTGGCATTAGTTCATCAGCTGACCCTATTACTTAGTATAAGAGTTCGTTTGAAAGTATTTTGAAAATAGCTGAAAGTGTTTTTGGTAAATTTTTTGAAACTAATCTTTATTAAAAATGCAAATAAATCATGAAAAAACACTTAAAATTCTTTTAAAACCCAAAACGTTTTATCTAAAAACGCTTTCAATCGTATAAAAGTCATATATTAGCATTTAATAAGTTGGTTGTTAGGGTTCTTTGATTCGATCATAAGATGGTCCACGTATGTTTGTCGTTCGTGTCATGATTCCACACATATATTTCATCAAATCTTAGCCAAAAGGCTGACAAAGGTATTATATTTTATTAAGTCACTAGCATCATCATCTTCAATTCTGAATATAAATACAACCAAATTGACAAAATAAATAAATAAATATTTCTTTGCACCAAAATTTAATAAGTATATTGTAACATCCCACATCGTTCAGAGGAGTAGATTCTCTAAGCTTTATATGTATATTCTCATCTCTACCTAGCACGAGGCATTTTGGGAGCTCACTGGCTTCGGGTTTAATCGGAACTCCGAAATTAAGCGAGTTCGCGCGAGAGCAATCCAAGTTCTCGTCTGAGTTCCCAGAAACAAAACCATGAGGGCGTGGTCGGGGCCCAAAGCGGACAATATCGTGTTATGGTGGAGTCGAGCTCGGGATGTGGTGGGGGCTCACGCTAGGATATGACATATATAAGCAAAACCAAACCATAGATATATTGGTGTATGGGACCTAATATATTGGTATAAGGGTAATGCTAGGAAGACCAACAATGTAGATCAAGTTTCGTAAATCATACAACGTGGTTATTGATGATTGATTTATTACTTAAGTGTTGATTAACACACTTACTTCTTATTAACATATCACATAATTTACAAATTTAGTCTAAAATATTGGTCTCGAGGATGCTGGCTGATCAGTTTCTTTATACTTGGTTTTGGCCTAGGTTTGTTTTGTTTTGTTTCTTTGTTTCTAGCCAGGTGGTTCCAATTTTTACACTTAAATAGCTATTTATATTTTAAAAGAATAGAGTAACAATTGGACAACTAAGTTTGTAACTAGATGTTTGGCACTTCTACGATTCCTCTTTGTTTTTCTTCTTTATAATTTTCCACTTTGTTTTATACCTTGACTCAATTGAAAGTTACAGGCTACTGATTTTAACACCTTTTTAATATACACACTAATGAGTATAAAAAATGAATCGTAACGCATAGCTTAAAGTTGATGTCACAGGACTCGATAATGGATATTCAGTATGGAATGCCTATGCTCAAAGTTCAAAATTTGGAATGCATATACCTAAAAGAGAATGCATATTTTTATTTTCAGTTTTCTCTCCCTCAATCCTTACAATAAACTCGAGATTCCGAGCTCCTGAGTTCGAATCCTACCATCCAATTGTATTCCGTGGCTTGTAGAAAGAAAAGGGAAAAAAAAAATCCTCATGGATAGACCAAAATGCCTACAAACGATCTGAGCCCAACCGGCAAAGGTATTGTATTTTATTAAGTCACTAGCATCATCATCTTCAATTCTCAATATAAAGACAACCAAATTGACAAAATAAATAAATAAATATTGGTGTATGGAACCTAATATTGTATTTAATAAGTATATAAGCAAAACCAGATCATAGATATATTGGTGTATGGAACCTAATATATTGGTACAAGGGTAATGTTAGGAAAACCAACAATGTAGATCAAGTTTCGTAAGTTATACAACGTGGTTGTTGATGATTGAATTGTTACTTAAGTGTTGATGATTGAATTGTTACTTAAGTGTTGATTAACGCACTTACTTCTTATTGACACATCACATAATTCACAAATTTAGTCTAAAATGTTGGTCTGGTTGGCTGATCAGTTTATTTATACTTGTTTTTGGCCTAGGTTTGTTTTGTTTTGTTTCTATTTTTCTAGCCAGGTGGTTCTTATTTTCATACTTAAGTAGCTATTTATATTTTAAAAGAATTAGAGTAACAATTGAAAACTAAGTTTTGTAACTAGATGTTTGGCACTTCTACGATTCCTTTTTGTTTTTCTTCTTTATAATTTTCCACTTTGTATGATACCTTGACCCAAACGAAAGTTACAGGCTACTGATTCTAACACCTTTTTAAAATACGCACTAATGAGTACAAAAAAAGAATCGTAACGCATAGCTCATAGTTGATGTCACAGGGTTCGATAATGAATATTCAATATGGAATGCATATACTCAAAATTCAATAATGAGTACTAAATTTGGAGTGCATATGCCTAAAAGAGAATGCATATTTTTATTTTTAGTTTTCTCTCCCCCAATCCTTATAATAAACTCGAGATTCCGGGCTCCTGAGTTCGAATCCTACCGCCCTATTGTATTCCGTGGCTTGTAGAAAGAAAAGGGGGAAAAAAAAACTAATGAAAATGGCTTGAAACTTTGAGTTTTAACGATAATGACAAAATAAATGGTAAAATGAATAGTATCATGATTTACTTTTTAGTGTAAAAATGTGGTTTTTCATTAAAGTAAACAGTACCGAGAGCTTTTCGTTAAAGTTCCCAAAAAATAAATCCTCATGGATAAACCAAAAGGCCTACAAATGATCAGAGCCCAATAAACCTGTTAGGCCAGGTCAGAGAGAAAGGCCCAGACAACGTTCATAGTCTCAAGTCACTAATACAAGATCATGTAAGACTCTCACTACATAGCCTTTCGGTTTGGCATGCCACAATGACGATAAATGCGTGAGCAATGATAGGTAGATCAAAATTGTAAACTACATGATGTGCCACGAACAGAAAATAAGTACGTTAATCAACACTTAATAATCCAATCATCAACCACCAAGTTATATGATTTACAAAATTTGGTCTAAATAATTGATCTCTCTAGCATTACCCTAAATGCATTCCACCTAAGTTATTCCTTTTCGTTTGTGGGAGGTCCATATGGTTACTGACCATTCGTCATCAATTGAATACGTTTTCACTATCTTGCTAGCTCTCAAACTATCTTTGACATGTTATTCAGAATTTTCTCTGCGCCAACATGTTGATATCATAACTTAGCTGGTGAGTTCGAAAGATCTAATCTTGTGTTTCCACTCATCTATCAATTGATGCAGGTGATATCAGGGCGGCGTCACGCCGATATCATATCTTCGGAATCTGTAGGAAACTATATGGTATGGTACTTTTAAGCTCTGAATTTAACGACGGTTGCAAATTGTATATCGGAAGTGTTAGGCGACCGTGACTGTGGAATAGATGGGTGGATGTTTCATGATTGTTTTCGATGACTTGCATAACACGGGAATCTATTTGTGTGATTACTTGCATCATTTGGGAAGTAACAAGTTCAGCTAATGAGAGATTATGTCAAAGGGATGTGCTATCCACACATCCCTTTATACTTCTCACACACCTCTTGTTAATTTTTGTTCTTTAATATTCTTTAGGTCAGTCGATTCGACGACTGCAAATTAAGAGGTTGTGCATGAAATAAAAAAATGTATGTGAATAACATACTCCTATGTCAAAATGCTTAACAAGTACGGGTTCAGATGCGATCCACCTACAAGAATGATTCTGGCTTTTGCTTCATTGCTCTTGAGAGAATTGAATACCAAACTAGAGGTAGTTTCGATTCCCATCGGTTTGGTTTTTGCCGAAACCAAAAACCAAACCATTTCATTTTACACCACTTCTTCTCCTCTTTCTCTTAATGCTAAGCTGCTGTAGCATTCCACACCTCCCCGCTCTCTCTCTCTCTCTCTCTCTCTCTCTCTCTCTCTCTCTCTCTCTCTCTCTCTCTCTCTCTCTCTCTCTCTCTCTCTCTCTCTCTCTCTCTCTCTCTCTCTCTCTCTCTGGATGAAGAAATTTTTCATTGTGTTAGGAAAATGACCCGTTACACTTGTCAAAGTGGTTGGAATTTTTTAAATTTTTTTAGAAATACAATGTAGGCCATTTCAATTAGTAGAGCAGCTTACTTAAGGTCCGATTTGGGCCTTTTCAAGCTTAACAAATGTCATTTTCAACAAGGTCCAACTCAGTAACAATATTGAATTCTTTTTTAAGGAATAATAATTAAATGAACTCTACATATGACAATCTACTGTACTGGCGAAAAGTAATAAAGTTTTTGCATATTTATGCAGGTTTGAATAGTAAGGAAGAAACAATTCGTCCTTTTTATCTTTTAATAATCTGCTCTCCGTTGTATTCCCATTTGATTTCTTTTTCCAAATAGAAAGAGAAATAAGTATTATTCATTAAGAAAAATACTATTTTACGTGTCACCAATCATCTAATTTGATTTACAAATGAAGGTGTAAAGATCATAACTCTAGTCTCCAAGGCAACCAAGCTATTTTGTTCACTTCGTTCTTGCTGGGGAAAGCAGGAGAGGTATTCTGCTCGTGCATGAAGTAGGTTGATCCAATGCAAACAGTACTAATTAAAATTCAAATGTCTTGATCGATCCAACCTGGCATTGGCACGTAAACGAGACTAAACACTAGAAAAAATATGTATAGATGAGGCATGCCCATTATTTAACGAAAATGTGGATAATCGAACCCCAAAATTTTCTTAATAAGTATAATGAATATGATAGCACATGTAGCAAACATTTTAGTATCATCCTAGTAAGTGTCACGCAATATCCATAAAAATGCATATGCCTAAAAGAGAATGCATATTTTTATTTTTAGTTTTCTCTCCCCCAATCCTTATAATAAACTCGAGATTCCGAGCTCCTGAGTTCGAATCCTACTTCCCAATTGTATTTCGTGGCTTGTAGAAAGAAAAGGGGGGAAAAAAAAACTAATGAAAATGATTTGAAAATTTTGAGTTTGAACGATAAGGATAAAATAAATGGTAAAGTAAATAGTACCATAATTGACTTTTTAGTGTAAAAAATGTGGTTTTTCGTTAAAGTGAATAGTACTAGAAGTTTTTTCGTTAAAGTTCCCAAAAAACAAATCCTCATGGATGTACCAAAAGGCCTACAAATGATCAAAGCCCAATAAACCCGTTAGGCCAGGTCAAAGAGAAAAGCCCAGACAACGTTCATAGTCTCAAGTCACTAATACAAGATTGTGTAAGATTCTCACTACATAGTCTTTCATTAGCAGTTTGGCATGCCACGATGACGATAAATGCATGAGCTATGCTGGATAGATCAAATTTGTAAATCATACAATATGCCACGAATTATAAATAAGTACGTTAATCAACACTTAATAATCCAATCATCAACCAGCAAATTATATGATTTACAAAATTTGATCTAAATAATTGATCTCTATAGCATTACCCTAAACGTGTTCCACCTAAGTTATTCCTTTTCGTTTGTGGGAGGTCCATATGGTTTACTGACCATTCGTCATCAATTGAATACGTTTTCACTATCTTGCTAGCTCTCAAACTACCTTCAACATGAATTTTCTCTGCGCCAACATGTTGATATCATAACTTAGCTGGTGTGAGTTCGAAAGATCTAATCTTGTGTTTCCACTCATCTATCAATTGATGCAAGTGATATCAGGGCGGCGTCACGTCGGAATCATATCTTTGAAACCTGTAAGAAACTATAGGGTATGATACTTTTAAGCTCTGAATTTAACAACGGTTGCAAATTGTATATCGGAAGTGTTATGTGACCGTGACTGTGGAATGGTTGGGTGGATGTTTCAAGATTGTTTTCGATGACTTGCATAACACGAGAATCCATTTGTGGGATTACTTGCATCATTTGGGAAGTAACAAGTTCAGGCTAATGAGAGATTATGTCAAAGGGGTGTGCTATCCACACATCCCTTTATACTTCTCACACACCTCATGTTAATTTTTGTTCTTTGATATTCTTTAGTTCAGTCGATCCGACGACTGCAAATTAAGAAGGTGTGTATGAAGTAAAAAAAGGTATGTGAATAACATACTCACATGTTAAAACGTTAACAAGTATGGGTTTAGGCGCAATCCACCTACAAGAAAATGATTCAGGCTTTCGCTCCATTGCTCTTGAGAGAATTGAATACCAAACTAGGGGTAGTTTCGGTTCCAACCGGTTTAGTTTTTTGCCGAAACCAAAAGCCAAACCATTTCATTTTACACCACTTCTTCTCTCTTTCTCTTAACGCTAAGCTGCTGTAGCATTCCACACCTCCCTGCTCTCTCTCCCCCTTCTGCAACTTCAGATGACCTGTGGCTGAATAAATTTTTCGTTGTGTCAGGAAAATGGCCAGTTACCCTTGTCAAAATGGTTGGATTTTTGTTTTTTCAGAAATACAATGTGGGCCTTTTCAATCAAAATTTGCCACGTAGTAGAGCAGCTTACTTAAGGTCTGATTTGGGCCTTTTCAAGCTTAATAAATGTCGTTGTCAACAAGGTCCAACTCAGTAACAATATTGAATTCTTTTTTAAGGAATAATAATTAAATGAACTCTACATATGACAATCTACTGTACTGGCGAAAACTAATAAAGTTTTTGCACATTCATGCAGGTTTGAATAGTAAGGAAGTGTTATAAAATTAGTGGATCAATAATGAATGCCCCCTCAAAGTTGTAAATACTTAGTAATAGTGAGTAATAGTGTTTGATACTTTCAAAAGTATCATTATTATATTTCGATGATTGTAGTTACGGAAGTCATTCTATAAATAAAGCACTTCATCTGTTATTAAATGCACTACGAATGAAAGCAAGAGAAATAATATCAATATCCCTCCATCTCTTTATCTGCCATCTTTTTTGTGTTATAGCTACTAAAGTTATAGTGATATTTTGCACCTGCTTCGCTCATATCCTTAAAAGTTACCTCTCTAACTTTTATCTATTTATAACCGGAAGAAACAATTCGCCCTTTTTTTCTTTTAATAATCTGCTCGTTGTTGTATTACCACTTGATTTATTTTTCCAATTAGAAAAAGAAATAAGTATTATTAATTAAGAAAAATATTATTATACATGTCATCAATCATTTGATTTGATTCACAAATGAAGGTGTAAAGTTCATAACTCTGGACAAGGATTGTCTGCCCTCCTAGTTGTGGTGCCCTTCCATGCCGTCCTATTTTGTGCGGTCACGGTTAAGCCACGTCAATATTTTATATTTTTATTATTTTTTGTCTTATTATCTCATTAAAAAATTAATATAAAATATTGACGTGGCTTAACCGTGACCGCACAAAATAGGAGGGCATGGAAGGGCACCACAACTAGGAGGGCAGACAATCCAAGTCCCATAACTCTAGTCTCCAAGGCAACCGAACTATTCTATTCACTTCGTTCTTGCTAGATCTTCAAGTGGGTAGGTAGATTTGTTCTACAGTACCTTTAGTTCCTATCAAGAAAGTAGGGGAGGTATTCTGCTTGTGCATGAAGTAGGATGATCCAATGCAAACGGTGCTAGTTAAAATTCAAGTGTCTTGATCGATACAACCTAGCATTGGCACAAAAACGAGATAACACTAAAAAAAATCCGCATAGTTGACGCATGCCCATTATTTAACGAAAATGTGGATAATTGAACCCCAAAATTTTCTTAATAAGTATAATGAATATGACAGCACATGTAGCAAGCATTTTAGTATCATCCTAGTGACTAGTGAGTGTCACGCATTATCCATAAAAATGCACTTTACATCCAAAAAATGAAGTTGAAAGCTACGTTATGTCATAATCTGTGTCAAAAGACGCAAGAAATTTCGTACTATTAATTAAAAGTAAATTAATCAATCACGTTCTAACCAAAACCAATAATTTGGTTGAATAATATTTCCAATTAATTCAATGATTATTAAAATCCCATATCGCACCAAATCTGTCAGTTACGTGTTCCCGGAGAGTGTACATGAACAACGCCAAAGCTCCGATTTTGACTTCCGACTGCATGATCTATCGGTCCATGAAAGTTCAGATCTCTGGCCTCGTACCCTTTTGAAATCGGACCTCCAATTGAGCTGCAATGGCCGGATTCTTGGTCTTGGTGGCGGCGGCGTTGGTGGGTCTGTGCATTGATGGCAGTTGGGTGTCGGAGGCGGGTCGGGAGGCTCCGGGAACGAAGGCAAGGAGGGTCCACACGCTGTTCTCGGTGGAGTGCCAGAACTACTTCGACTGGCAGACTGTCGGGTTGATGCACAGCTACCGGAAAGCCCGGCAACCTGGCCCGATTACCCGGCTCCTCAGCTGCACCGACGACGAGAAGAAGAAGTACAAAGGGATGCATTTGGCTCCCACTTTTGAGGTTCCTTCCATGAGCCGGCACCCAAAAACTGGCGACTGGTGAGCTCAAAAAAAAAAAAAAAAGATTTTGTTTCTTAATTTGATATAAAGTTTGGATTTTGAATTCTGGGTTGGATTTAATTGTTCATTTAATATGATGGGTTTGGTTTAAATGGAAGGACTTTGTTTTCATTAATGCAGAAAATATTTTGATTAAATTTTAATTAAGATGCTAATTTTGCAGGTACCCTGCAATTAACAAACCAGCTGGAGTTGTGCACTGGCTTAAGCACAGCAAGGAGGCTGAGAATGTTGATTGGGTTGTGATTCTGGATGCTGACATGATTATCCGCGGGCCGATTGTTCCTTGGGAACTTGGTGCTGAGAAAGGCAAGCCTGTTGCAGCATATTATGGGTATATTACTGCTACGCCTTTTTTCCTTTCATGTATATTATACTAGATTTTAGCTGAGAACACATTGTATCAGACAAGAACATTGTGAATGCCATTTGAATTCCCCATGATCGGTCGTACCTTGAGTACGTTTATGTAGGCAACCTATGTTAGTTTGGAATGAGAGGCTAGTTAAGTAGAGTTGCAGTTTGTACCTGACACGGTGACACCATTTGGTGGTCGAAGTGAGAGATATTCTATGTTATTGGTCAATCACTCATAGGAGAAGAACAAGATCTTGTCAATTTCATAAAATGCAGAGATTTCTTTTCTGGCATTTGAAATAATAACTTTATGGATCTTTTCTTTTGATGGGTTTATGAACAGTAAATACATTTTGCATTTGTAGGGACTGTGGCTATCAGCATATATTCGTATAATGAATTTCTCCTTCAGGTACTTGGTTGGATGCGATAATCTTCTCGCTCGACTGCACACAAAGCACCCTGAACTCTGCGATAAAGTTGGTGGGCTTTTGGCCATGCATATAGATGATCTTCGAGCATTGGCACCCGTGTGGCTTTCGAAAACAGAAGAAGTGCGGGAAGATAGAGCTCACTGGTCAACTAATATAACTGGTGACATCTATGGGAAAGGATGGATCAGTGAGATGTATGGATATTCTTTTGGTGCAGCAGAGGTAAGCTTATTTCATTTTTCTCCCTTAAATTAGTATATCCTTTAGTAAACTATAATGTTGGATGTTTTACAAACTTTCAATCCTTTACATTTGAGCGTCTTCTTTCGGTGTGTGCGCGTTTTCTTGTTAATTGGTATTGGTTTCCTTATTTCCCTTTTCAGGTAGGTCTTCAGCACAAAATAAATAATAACTTGATGATCTACCCAGGCTATACTCCACAAGAGGGTGTTGTGCCTATTCTTCTTCACTACGGCTTGTCATTTAGCGTAGGGAATTGGTCTTTTAGAAAATTAGATCACCACGAGGACGCTATTGTTTATGACTGTGGCCGACTCTTTCCTGAGCCTCCATATCCAAAAGAGGTATGTGAGAACTTTTCTTATTTAAGAGAAGCCTGTACATTTTTTTGTTGTGGTAAATACCTGTATATGGTGTATGTCTGCATAAATTATCCCACTGCTAAAACGCAATTGCTTGGATAGGGCATACTTGGAAATACTGAATGGAATGCTCATTTGGGTTTTGTTATGAACCTGTATGTAAATATTTTTTTTTCGAAACGTCAAAATTCTGTACAGGGAAGATCATGTTCAAGGTCTTGAATTTATTCTTTCTGTATCCAGGTAAATATGATGGAACCTGATAAAAATAAAAGGCGGGCTCTTATGTTGAATTTAGAGTGCATTAACACTTTAAATCAGGGTCTTTTACTACAACATGCAGCAAATGGTTGCCCAAAGCCAAAGTGGACAAAATACACGAGCTTTCTGAAAAGCAAAACTTTTGCCGAACTGACTCGGCCAAAACAGCTGACTGCTGCTACTTTACGATTCGAGGAGCCAGTACATGTAGTACAGGAAGTGCAGCAGGAGGTTGTCGATGAACCTGGAAAGCCATATCCAAAAATCCACACCCTTTTTTCTACAGAATGCACCCCTTACTTTGATTGGCAGACTGTAGGACTTGTCCACAGTTTTCACCTGAGTGGCCAGCCTGGAAATATCACACGATTACTCAGCTGTACGGATGAAGACTTGAAGCAATATGCTGGGCATGATCTGGCTCCCACCCATTATGTTCCTTCCATGAGCCGACATCCATTAACGGGTGATTGGTAAATCTTTTTCTTCAAGTGTTTTATTTCCATCTTATAGTTTATTCTTGGTGGTGGTTTAATGTTAATTTCAGCATCGACATCCTATCTCCCAATCTTTTAGAGAACCAAAGATCATTCTTTTGTTCTATCTACCAGGTATCCAGCAATTAACAAACCAGCTGCAGTCCTTCATTGGCTCAATCATGCAAATACGGATGCAGAATACATAGTGATTCTTGATGCTGATATGATCTTGAGGGGTCCAATTACCCCATGGGAATTCAAAGCAGCACGTGGCCAACCAGTTTCGACTCCCTATGGGTAAGCAATCTGACTGTTTATTCTTACTTATCATTTTATGGTTGGTATCTCAGGACCCAGAATGTAATTAGGGGTCCAGATTTCTAGTTTCTAGTTGTATAATCCATATGAGGACTAATTTTTCCTAATCTGTATATGGTAGCTATCTTATCGGCTGTGACAATGAGCTTGCAAAACTCCATACTCGACATCCTGAAGCCTGTGACAAGGTTGGGGGTGTTATCATCATGCATATAGATGATCTTAGAAAGTTTGCTCTACTGTGGTTGCACAAAACTGAGGAAGTGCGGGCAGACACAGCTCATTATGCCACAAATATCACTGGAGATATATATGCATCTGGTTGGATCAGTGAGATGTATGGTTACTCATTCGGAGCAGCAGAGGTAAATTGTTCTGCTGTGTAAAAAAAGTGCTTCAGTATTTACCCTGAGCATCATCAACATTATTTATGAAAGTGTTTCAGTGCTGTTATGTGATAATGATTCTATTTCCCTCTGTTTTTCCGTGCAGTTGAAACTACGGCATCAAATAAGCAGCGAGATACTGATATACCCGGGGTATGCTCCTGCACCAGGCATCAAATACAGAGTATTCCACTACGGTTTGGAATTCAAGGTTGGAAACTGGAGCTTTGATAAAGCAAAATGGAGGAATGTCGATGTGGTTAACAAGTGCTGGGCCCAGTTTCCAGACCCACCCGACCCTTCAACACTCGACCAGACAGACAAGAACAAACTGCCGACAGATCTACTTAGCCTAGAATGCATAAAGACACTAAATGAAGCGTTACACCTTCATCACAAGCGAAGGAACTGTCCCGATCCAAACTCAGATGTAGCAGAACAAGTTGTAGTATCAAGGAAACTCGGTAAGTTGGAAGGAAGTTTTGGCCTAGGAAGCAACCGTGTCCAAACAGATCATTCCGAGGAGATTCCAGAACCTACATTGACTGATGGGATGTTTAGTTCTGTGAGGTTCTTGGTTATTGCTCTATGGGCATTCTGTGGCTTGGGCTTCTTGACGATCGCGTGGGTGCTGTTTTCAGGTCGTAAAGGGAAAGGTAAAAGAGGTAAAAGTTATAGAATTAAGAGAAGAAATTCTGGTACAGGATTTATGGATATTAGCAGCCGTGATAGGCATTTACGTGGAGTTGAAGTACCTTTATGACATTCTCTTGTGAGGTAACATCAAAAGTTGAGACCGAGTTTGCCTTTGCCACGAGTAATGTAGTGACCAAACTCGTCCATACGACATTACATTTGCTAAGGCAGGCAAGTTTCAGTTTTGAAGAAAACAGAGTCGTCGTCGCAACAATTCTTACGAAATGCTAGTTTAGGGTTTTGTTTAAGAGGAAGAGGAGAGGCTGTGTGGTAGTTTCGATTTTTGATATAACTTTGTATTTTACTCGTATTCTTTCCCATATGAAATCGTATACGCATATTTGGTTGCTGATTTCGCATGGCGTTTCTTCCTTCTGTGCATAAGTTCTGTCTTCTTTTTGTATTTAAATCGTACACATGCACTTGAAGTTCTGAATTTGATTCCTCCATCCTCAATATCGATTTTACAAAAAAGAAACACACATTTAGTTATGCTATTCATGTTATATTGTAAGATTGTTAAGATTCATGCAAATGCGTTTTCCTCCGTATCCTTCAACGATAATGTCATTGGCTCCATAAATGTCACCTGTTATTTATCCCTGACGAATAAAAAGAGAGATTAGAGAGGACGTTGTAAATTATCTATTAAGCGGTGAAATCTCTCCTAAGAAAGGTGTTACAACCACCCCCAATTATATGTGTTAAATGTTATTTTCACCCCCCAAACTGCCACGTGGCAGCCATCTAACTCCCCTCTCTTTTCTCTCTTTCTATCCCCAAACCCCGAGACCTCTCTCTTCTTCATCTCTCTCTCTGTACTCTCTCTCTCAGCTCTCCCGTATCTCTCTCTCTCAACCTCTTGCCTCACTCTCTTCTCCTGGACACACACCACGACCCTGTCACCATCAAGGGAGGCTCGCAACCAACCCAGGACCTCTTCCTTGTGAGTTCGACGGCACGGGAGCAAAAGCTCCGGCGAACCCTCCCCTTTTTCTGTTTGGTAAGTCACGGATCTCTCCCTCTTTCCATTAGTGTGATGCTTGGTGGTGTTTTCTGAGTTAAATCCTTGCCTTTTTACGCAGGTTGCACCTTGGAATCGAGTTGGGTTAAGCAAGCCCATTCTTCAGCGCGAACCCGTGCGCTTTGAGGGGATTTCCGGTCACCTCCGACTGTGTCATGGCTATTCGAGGGTAGCAATCTCTTCCTCTCACCTTGCTCTTCATTTTCGTACTTAGATCGGGGTCTAGAACCCTTGTTTTCAGGTGACCGGAGCTGTAGCAGCTCCGGCCTTCTTCTTCGGCAAAAACCAGGCCTCTTAGGCCGTTTAGAAAACCCCACGGGCCTTAAGCCCGTTGTGCCTTAGCCCAAAACCCCAGCCCGTTTCATTTTTATTTTTATTTATTTGTTTTTAAAACCTAAAAGGCCACGGGCCTTATACTGAAGGGTCTTGGGCCAGTTTCTGTTAAAGGGCTTAAAGCCCTGCCCTTTTGTGAGGCCTTAGGGCCGGCCTTTGTGTGTGTGTGTGTGTGTGTGTGTGCAACCCGTGTGTGTGTGTGCGTGTGTGTATATGCATGTCATGCATGCATGTGTGTGTGCTTGGGTGGTGTGTGTTTGGGCTTAAGCCCAAATCACATTCCTTCACCCTAAAGTCTTTTTAACCCAAAAACCCTTTACCTAAATCTATTAGACCCTAACCCATCCAACCCCAAATCCCCTATTTTATTTAGTTCAAGCCCAATCTTTTAGAAAATCCTTTTATTTATTTATTACATTTTTGTGCTTAGGTAAAGTTGATAGTGGAGAAATTCTTAATCCTTATCCGCTCGACTCTTCTGCTAAAGAATATTTGTGAGTGGACCCCTTCTAAAATTTCATGATTTTATAATTTAATTGCATAAATGTTTAGCATGCCTACGAATTTATGATTCAATTTATGTTAAGCCTATTTACTGAATTTATTGATTTTCGTCTCGTGTTTTTGGTGAAGAATTAATTGTTAGCCAATATTGAGCTATATTTTAATATATCGTATTTTCTATAAAAACCATGATCTGGTAAACTATCTGATGGATGACGATAGGATGCTAGAACATGTTTTCGAAACCCCTCTTTATAGTATAGACGATGGATTACTTTATACTATGAAGTGGTTATTTATGAGAGGCGTAACTATTTGTGCGTACCTAGAGGACACTATGCCGCCTGTGGCGAAGATCTGGTGTTGGCATTTGGGTCGGGAGTTGGTAATCTCTAGCTACGGGCACAGAGACCACGAAGCAGGCATTGGGCCAAGAGTTGGTAATCTTTGGTTACGGGCGCAGAGACCACGGAACAGGTATTGGGCCGGAGTTATATTTATTCAGTGATCTTTCTAGCAGCACACCGCGCTTACGAGACGATCTATGATACGTTTATTGTTTTGATTTCCGCGATGTTATTCCGCGATATGACTTTTGAAATATTTTTGGCATGCTAGGATTTTTATTAAATCCATCACTCATTATGCTAGTAGTTTTCATTAAATAAATTGTGGGGGTTAGTACTTTGATAACTGTTTTATTATTATTGTATATATGAACTTGGTCCACTCACCTTTGTTTTGCGCCCCCATTCAGGTCATAGAAACGAGGACTACGACTCGACGTATGAGGCATTCCCCTACCAGTAGCAATCTATCATCCACTTGTGTGATATCTTGTAACGATCTTTCCTTTTTTGTAAATCTCGAATTTGTTGTGTTATGTGCACTCTAGACACTTCCTTAAACCTTGTGTTTTATTTCGAGATTTTAATGTTTATTCATGAATATTTTCTCCTAATCATTACTCTTGTAATCAACTAATGACTTTCGTCACCTGTGGGTGTCGGCCAACACGTATCTATCCTGGTATTCGGGGAATATCAGAGTCGGGGTGTGTCAAAAGGGTTTGAGAAAGCCCGTCTCCTCGGCCCAATTTGCTTGGATAAGAATCCTAACCAAACGCAATTGCTTGGAAGCCAAGTTAAGGTCTATCATGCTTCTAGGGTTCTACCATTACAATTACATTCAAAGCAAGCACTAAAGAACTGAGCAGCCAAAAGGTTCCAATCTAGTGCGTACGCTTTCTCTCTCTTTAATTTACTCGTATAATTTGATTTTGAATTGGATAACTAGACATGTTTGAGAAGAAGGAGAGAAGGGGAAGCGACATCAACCAATTCAAAATGGCGCCGCAGGAGATGAATGAGGACTTCGATCTTCCCAGCGAGGAGAAGGAAATTGGCAGGCAGGGCCTGGAGAAGAAGAAGAAGAAGAAGCGAAGGTTCACTGAAAACTTTGGTGTCATGGCGTGAAGTTCTGGAACTGCTACAGGTATGCTTTTCTTCTTGGTTCTTTCATACACAAATTCTGGTTAGTTCTTTTTAGGTTGTAGTTCATGTTTTAGTCTTGTTTACTAATTCACTGCTAACACAATGTAATTCCCTCTTTAATTTATACGTACTTACGTTCAGAAATTTTGAAAATTTCATTTAATTAGTTTTTTAAGTTGCTTTTGAATTGGGATTGATTGCAATGTCTATGGTTAGTTGTGGAGGGATGTTGGCAGACACCCTTTGGATTTCAGGGAGAATATCGTACGTCGCCTCGACTTGCTTGATCTGATTCGCTTAAGCGTCCTCTGCAAGTACTGGAGTTCAATTGCTATGCGAAGGGACATCCGCAGTACTGCTCCACCATTTCCCTGGTTAGTACTCGCTCAACGTAGTTCCGACTACTTAGAGTTCTCCATCCCATCTGAGGGTAAAGTTATCAAGATAGATTTGCCTAAGCGAAATCAAGGGCGGTTTCATAGTTCCTCCAAAGGTTGGTTGAATATGGTGAAGGGAAAATCCATATTTCTACTAAACCCTATTTCAGGAGACAAGCAAGAACTTCCTTCCTTGAGAAATATCCCATCTCTCCACAGAATGTACGGTGGAAAACCTGCTCAATTTCTTCATGAAATTGCACTATCCGGTTCAAATACCTCAGAATGTACGGTGGCAGCGATTTTTTCTTCTAAGGAAATTGGTGTGTGCAGGCCGGGAGAAAAAAGTTGGAGCATCTTCTCGATGTTGGATGATAGAAAAGGTTCTCCTTTACAACTATTGTTTTCGTCTTGTGGCATGCTATACGTATTGGTAAAAAAACAATGAGATTGAGAATGGAGGTGCTTTAACTCGCATGTTACGCTTCGGAGATGGTGATGAGCTGCAACTGAAGTTGGTTTCCAAGGGAGGGGTCTGAATGCCTTCTTGAGGATCATCATCGAGGACAAGTCATATTTGGTAGAATCAACAACCAGCAATGAAGTCTTGTTGATTCATCAGTTTAAAAATCAAGAAGTGACTGATTGCGGTCAAAAAACAAGGACTCTTGATTTCTTAGTTTACAAGATTGATCCGGAGAATGACAAAAGCTTTATCGAGTTACAGAGTTTGGGAAACCAAATATTATTTGTATCAAGCCGAGGTTGCTCGTTGTCCTTTCCAGCGAGTAATTCCAAAGGGTTGAAAGTGAAGTGCATTCATTTTGTGGAGTTAAGAGTAGGGCACACCTTGTTTGGCCTTGACTATCGTTCTGGTACTGGTACAAGCCGCTTCTTCTACTTAGATGGTCGGAAATCTGAAAATTCTGTAAATTCAGAAATGTGGGGACTGAGTTGGTGGAGTCCAACAAGTTTATGGTAGCTTAGAGTTCTTCCTTTCTGTTTCAGTGCATGCAGTGCTTCTTCTTTCTTTGTTTTGCAAAGAGTTATATTACTCCAACAATTGTACTAGTTAATCTCAAGTTCCTAATTTTATGATGTTCCAGTGGCTTGGTGAGCCAAAATTTGTACCTCATATAGAAATATAGCCATGATTTTTCCGATGTTGGATGATAGAAAAGAGTCTCCTTTATCCCTATTGTTTTCGTCATGTGGCATGGTATACGTATTGGTCAAAAACGATGAAATTGAGAGTGGAGGTGTTGTAAGTTGCGGATAATTCCAAGGGGTTGAAAACGAATTGTATTCATTTTGTAGAGTTAGAAGTAAAGCAAAGCTTGTTTGGTCTTGACCATCCTTTTGGTACTGGTACACCAAGTTTATGGTAGCTTACAGTTCTTCCTTTCTGTTTCAGTAGTGCATGTAGTAGTAGTAGTACTTTTTTCTTCATTTGCAAAGAGTTATATTATTGCAACAATTGCAATAGTTAGTCTGATGTTCTTAATTTTTTTTTATGTTCCAGTGGATTGGTGATCCAAAAGGATATCTTTATTGCTTTATAATATTTTACCAGACTTAGGTACTATGACGACATGTTATGTCATAAGATTGTTGATATTCATCCAAACAAGTCTGCATGTCACTATCAATGAAGAGAGAGGAGAGACTGAAATAAATAACGAGTTACATTTTCACAACCATTTTATTAATTCTTTTAGTTTTCATATGATTCATATTACCTCTCACACCGTTTTTAATTTTTGTGCATTAATCTTTTTTCATTTAATCGATCCAACGACCTGAAATTGAGAGAGATGTGTGAGAGGTAAAAATTGGTATGTGAATAGCACCACCCTATTAATCATATAAAATTTTATCAAGTTGGAATTGGAGTTGCCTAGCGAGATGAAGGGTAGTTTCTTAAATCTTCCAAAGGTTGATGATTATAAATCAATGTCAGTAGCTTCACTACAACAATCGTTTGTCCACAAGACAAAGAAACCTAGATCAAATCAAATCATATCAAATCCTTAATGAAATCACATCAAATTACTAATTAAATCAAATATCTAAAATACTTTCTTTTGTATTTTTTAGCCGAAAAAGCCCGTCTACTCAGCCCAATTTGCCTCCGTCACTTATTTGGGCCAAAATTTCACTAAGCCGCTCTAATTTTGGATCCTTGTTTTTCTCAAGGGGATTGAGTCGAATAAAGATTTTCCATGAAATCAGGATGGGATCGAAAGACACATTGAATAAGAATCCTAACTAGGTCAAACTCATTTGCTTGGAAGCCAAGTTAAGTCTAGCGTCAATAGCGGCCCAAACGTACATAGGGTTCTGCTAAATACATGCAAGAAACAGCCAAAAGGTCCTTGCTAGTGCGTAGGCAGGAGAGAAGGGGAAACGACATCAACCAATTCAAAATGGCGCCGCAGGAGATGAACAAGGACTTCGACCTTCCCGGTGCGGAGAAGGAGATTGGCAGGCAGGGCCTGGATAAGAAGAATAAGAGCCTCAAGGTCAAGGACATCCCCAAGAACGGCAACGAGGTTCAAGGTAATTCCATCTTTAATTTATCTGTACCTTTTTTTGAAAATTTCATTTTTGGAATTGGGTTTTTAAGTTGTTTTGGATTGGGATTGATTGGAATGGCTATAGTTGTAGAGGGATGCTGGCAGAAACCACCTTTGGATATAATGGAGAATATCATATCTCGCCTCGACGTACTTGATCGGATTCGCTTAAGCATCCTGTGCAAGTACTGGAATTCGATTGCTATGCGAAGGGACATCCGCAGTACTGCTCCACCATTTCCCTGGTTAGTACTCGCTCAACGTAGTTCCGACTACTTAGAGTTCTCCATCCCATCTGAGGGTAAAGTTATCAAGATAGATTTGCCTAAGCGAATTCGAGGGCGGTTTCATAGTTCCTCCAAAGGTTGGTTGATTATGGTGGAGGGAAAATCCATATTTCTACTAAACCCTATTTCAGGAGACAAGCAAGAACTTCCTTCCTTGAGAAATATCCCATCTCTCCACAACCTTGAAGAAGAGGATGAATTTGATTCGTATCATGTTGGGGGTGGAAAACCTCCTCAATTTCTTCGTGAAATTGCACTATCCAGTTCAAATACCTCAGAATGTACGGTGGCAGCGATTTTTTCTTCTAAGGAAATTGGTTTGTGCAGGCCGGGAGAAAAAAGTTGGAGCATCTTCTCGATGTTGGATGATAGAAAAGGTTCTCCTTTACGCCTATTGTTCTCGTCTTGTGGCATGCTATACGTATTGGTAAAAAACAATGAGATTGAGAATGAAGGTGTTATAACTCGTATGTTACGCTTCGGAGATGGTGATGAGCTGCAACTGAAGTTGGTTTATGACAAAAAAGAAGAATCACGGAAAAATTCATCCCATGGGTGGGGTCCCAATGCCTACTTGGATGTCATCATCGAGGACAAGTCATATTTGGTAGAATCAACAGCCAGCAATGAAGTCTTGTTGATTCATCAGTTTAAAAATCAAGAAGTGACTGATTGTGGTCGAACAACAAGGACTCTTGATTTCTTAGTTTACAAGATTGATCCGGAGAATGACGAAATCTTTATCAAGTTACAGAGTTTGGGAAACCAAATATTATTTGTATCAAGCCGAGGTTGCTCGTTGTCCTTTCCTGCAGCGAGTAATTCTAAAGGGTTGAAAGTGAATTGCATCCATTTTGTGGAGTTAGGAGTAGAGCAATGCTTGTTTGGTCTTGACTATCGTTTTGGTACTGGTACAAGCCGTGTCTTCTACTTAGATGGTCAGAAATCTGAAGAATCTGCAAATTCAAAAGAGTGGGGACTGAGTTGGTGGACTCCAACAAGTTTTTGGTAGCGTAGAGTTCTTCCTTTCTGTTTCAGTAGTGCTTGCAGTAGTACTTCTTTCTTCGTTTTGCAAAAAGTTGTATTATTACAATAATTACCACCTCTTATATTTTCAGAAAGTCTCTTGTTTGTGCCAACTATATATTCAGTGGCTTGGTGAGCCAAAGGGATATCTTAATTGCTTTATAATGTTTTATCAAACTACACTACTAAAACTTTGACAAGTTATGTCATGTTTTTAGATTGTTGAAGTGAGCCTGCATGTCCCTACTAATAAAGAGAGAGAAGAGAGACGAGAATAAATAACGAGCTACATTTCCACAACCATTTTATTAATTCCGTTAGTTTTCATATGATTGATATGTATAGGATGGCATAAGCGAAATATTAATCGTACAAAAATTTATCAAGTTGGAGTTGGAGTTGCCTAAGCGAATGAAGGGTGGTTTCTATTAGTAGTGGCTTCACTATAATAGATCAAAACAATCATTTGTCCACAAGACAAGAAAACCTAGACCAAATCAAATCATATCAAAATCAAACCTCCAAAATATTTTGTATTTTTCAACAAGGAAAGCCCGTCTACTCGGCCCAATTTGCCTCAGCCTCTTGTTTGTGACAAAATTTCACTAAGGCGCTCTAATTTTGGATCCTTGTTTTTCTTAAGGGGATTGAGTCGATTAAAGATTTTCCATGAAATCAGGATGGGATCGAAAGACACATTGAATAAGAATCCTAACTAAGCCAAACTCAATTGCTTGGAAGCCAAGTTAGGGTCTAGCGTCTAAAGCGGCCCAAACAAACATTATAAATACATACAAGAAGAAGCCGAAAGGTCCTAACTGGTGCGTAGGGTTTCTTTCTCTTTTACTCGTATACTGTAGTTTGATTCTGAATTGGATACCTAGAGATGTTTGAGAAGAAAAGAAAGGGAAGCGACATCAACCAATCCAAAATGGCGCCGAAGGAGATGAACTAGGACTTCGATCTTTCCGGCAAGGAGAAAAAGAATAAGCGCCTCAAGGTCAAGGACATCCCTAAGAACGGCTACAAGGTTCAAGGTAATTCCCTCTTTAATTTATCCGTACGTTTTTTATGAAATTTTGAAATTTTAATTTTTGGAATTGGTTTTTTAAGTTGTTTTTGGATTGGTATTGATTGGAATGACTATGGTTAGTTGTAGCTTGTAGGGGGATATAGGCAGACAGCACCTTTGGATATCATGCAGAATATCGTAACTCGCCTCAACTTATTACTTGATCGGATTCGCTCAAGCACCCCCTGCAAGTGCTGGAGTTCGATAGTTCCTCTAAAGGTTGATTGGTTATGGTCAAGGAAGAAACCTCTCAAGTTTTTCTGCTAAACCCTATTTCAGGAGATGAACACATACTTCCTTACTTGAGTGAAATCCCATCTTTCAAAAATGGTGAAGGTAGAGAGTCCTTCTTCCTTTTTTCTTGAGTGGAGATAAATTTGGAGGTAGAAAAACCAGCGGCTTTCTTCGTGAAATTGCAATATCCAGATCAAATATCTCAGAATGTACGGTGGCAGCAATTTTTTTCCACTAGGGAAATCGGCATGTGCAGGCCGGGAGAAAAAAGTTGGACCATCTTTCCGATGTTTGACGATACAGTGGAGTCTCCTTTATGCCTACTGAGAGGAGGAGAGAAAACGAAATAAATAACCAGTTACATTTCCACTACCACTTTATTGATGCCTTTAAATTTAATATATATATCATATACATAAATGTCTACTTAGAAAAAAGAAATACATAATTGTATTAGAATACATAAATGGTAAAAAAGAATGACATAATAGATTATAAAGTATTAAAACATATTTAAAGACCTAGAAATTAGTCGGAACAGTGACTAGCTACCTAATGTCTAAACCAGACTTCAAAGGCGCTAAGTGAGGATTTTTAGAATAGTGGATTTCATATGATTAATATAGGATGGCCTAGGCGAAATATTAATCAAGCAAAAATTTATCAAGTTGTAGTTGCCTAAGTGAAATGAAGGGTGGTTCCTTAGTTCTTCCAAAGGATGATGATTATGACACATCGCCTCACGCCATTCGTTAGCATCAAACAAATAGCCTTCAAGGGTCAAATTGTCCACTTGGTCCGGAAGGGTGAATAGTTGAGTTCTCAAACTTTGGTTTTTGTGACAACACCAAAATTTTGTGCTCCACTAAGATATATTAATACTCTGGTGTTTTGGGCCGATAAATATTAATTATTTGTATATTGAATCAAGAATCTAACTGCTCCCATGGTAGACGAACCCGACATTAAGATCATTTCTAACCTTTGGAGTAAAATTTAAAATTTTTAACCCAGAAAATTTAGGTTTTAACCCAGAAACAGTTTTTTTGCTCTAACTATTTTAGCCTAAAATTTTAACCCCATACTATTAAAGAATGAATCTCACCTGTTAGATTTAAAGGAGATGAAAATCTATGTTGTCTGATAGAAATAAAGGAGACGAGATTGCATATGGGTGCCCGACAACCCCATTAGGTTGGATCCCACTTGCCCTCAGAGTGTCCCATTTTCCTTGCTTTTTGGCGTGTTGCCATGCTTTTAGGCTCACTCCAACCCTGACCTAAAACCTAAAATTCTCCTTCCCCCCTCCCAAAACCCAACCCATGGCCTAAAACTCATCCTGGGGCCAAATATCAGTCCAAGTTCCCATTTTCCTTGCTTTTTGGCGCGTTGTCATGCTTTTAGGCTCACTCCAACCCTGACCTAAAACCTAAAATTCTCATTGCCGCCCCCCCCCCAAAACCCAACCCAACCCATGGCCTAAAACTCATCCTGGGGCCAAATATCAGTCCAAGTTTAGACCACAAATTGGAGTGGACCCCACATGTGAGACTGAAATAGGGGCTGTGAAGCCCACACCCCAAAACCCAGTCGCCCACGCGCTGCACCCACTAGGCATCCCTGCCAGCCGAGCCCACCTACATAGGGTTGTCCCCCCGAGTGTCAGCCATTTATGTAGCCCAACGACTACTTTTTTTCGATCCAACGGCTGGATTTAAATGGGTCGTTGGTTAATCCACTAGGTTAAAATGTGTCGTTAGTGATTTTTCAAAATTTATCGGAATTTAAATATTTTTAGGTTAAAATGTTCATAAAATTAATTTATGATAGTCTACATAATTTTTTTAAAAAGTTAATTTAAAGAATAGCCTAAATTCATTCTTTAATAATCTGGGGCTAAATTTTTAGGCCAAAAATGTTAGAGCAGAAAAGCTATTTCTAGGCTAAAATCTAAATTTTCTGGGATAAATATTTTTAGGTTTTAGGTCAGGGTTGGAGATGGTCTTAGCGCGTTAACCAGCGGGTTTTTTGTTTTTTTTTCATAATGCGTCTACGCGCACAGTAGACCATGATATTTAGCCCAAGCCGGTTTCTTGGCTGGGTTTTGAGTTCTAACACTTAATCCAATTTTAGAACAAGAGTTGGAATGAAATGAGGGGAGAATAAAAAGAAAATTATAGAACTTAACTCCAAAGATTGGACTAATAGTCTAATAGTACCTAGCGTCTAGTATACACTAGAGTTGAAGAGAGGGGGACCTGAAATTCAAATTAGCCAAAAAATTAGAACGTTGGAGGAATACCGTTGCTTTGAACACGCGGGTCCTACAAACAAGAAAAAGTGTAAAGCATTTGAATTATATAAAGATTTGGAGCGGAAAGTCGGACGTCCACTTGTCACTCTGGCTTTGGCAGCAATAATCCGAAGTCTCATCTCAATCTCTCATACTCTCTGCGGCCCTGCCGGGGTCCCTCCCAACTTTTCCACGACACTTTTCATTTCAAATTTCAAATTTCGAAATCGACGAGGACGACGACGGACCTGACGATTTATGCGAATCGTAAATCCGATGTTTGATTCAGCAAACACATAAGGGTTTTGTTTTTTTGACTCAAAGTTTGGATCTTTGGGCCGACATCGTCGAATTCGTACCGGAATTATGGGAGAATCGACGTGTCTGATGCAGCCGTTCTCCTATGCTGCCGGCATCCCCAACGACGCACACGAGGTCAGTTCTTCGGTTTGTGTCTCTATTTTTTGTGATTTTTAAGGTTGAATTTCTATGTGCAGAACACTTTTTACTTGCTGGGTAGTTTATGGATTTCGGTTTTTGAGAATTGGGTGTTAAAAAGTTGGGAACTTTGTGTTGTTGCAGGGGAACCCGATTCATGCTCTTGGGCAGTCAGTGTCGTTCGGTAGGTTCGTGTCGGAGTCATTGGCTTGGGAGAAATGGTCCACATTTTCGCACAACCGGTATGTGGAGGAGGCCGAGAGGTACGCCCGCCCCGGTTCAGTTGCGCAGAAAAAGGCTTTCTTTGAAGCACATTACAAGAAAATCGCTGCTCAAAGAGCAGCCGCCTTGCTTGAACAAGCAAATGCTAATGTTGCTGCTGCCGCTGCATCAGAAAATGCACCCGAACCCAAATCTGAAAGCCGGGATCTAAAGACGAGGATTTCAACCTCTGAAGTGTTCGTCGACGAGCAGAAGGAAGAGAAAGTGGAAGAGGAGGTCTACGAGCCAAATCGAGGAGAAGAATCTTTTGGTAAATATACCAATGACCATAATGCTAACACTGAAATGGAGAAATTTGAAAGCCGTAAGGTGCACCCTGTAGATCATGAAGACCAAGTTTCGGGGGAGAATTCGGTTGAGGTAGAACTTTCGAGCCAATGTGCTGATAAAGACAAGGAGGTAAACGGCATGGAGCTCACCGGCGCACCCCAGATCGAAAGGCCTCTGTTAAAGGTAAAAATCTTGATCTATAACCGATAAATTTCACACTCATTGACCTATGGAGGTTGCTGAAAACTTGTATTGTTGCTTCAGCAGAGTTACAGATCGAATCAAGAAGCTTTGACACCAGCGAAAACGAAAAAAACCAGACTATTTAGTTCCTCCAAATCATCATTAGCATATCATAAAGCACCGAAAGCCCCATCTTCTCCAGCCAAATCCACAGCTCCTAGTTGTTCCCGAAGGGATGACATTATCACTCCATTGCGTAAATATCCGGGTGCAGAACTGGAGGACAAGAAGAAATCAACTCCGAAATCACTTCACAAGTCGGTCAAATTTACGCCCATCAGGGAGCTTTCTAGACTGACTTCGACCGTCATGAGGAAGATTGAAAACTCAAGAGTTGGTGCTAGTTCTTCCAAGACATCAAAAGATTGCCTGACTCCTCTGAAGACTCCAACTACGGTGCCTCCCAATTTCTTTGAATATTTTACCAAATTGACCGACGAATGCAAAACTTCGCCAAACTCGCTATCCGCTAAAGAATTTGTCTTTGGATGTGCAGGTATCTAGGAATGAGGTGCACAAACGTTCTACAACCACCCCGTGTTCAGAAAAGAGAAGGTAACTCTGATCGTATGAAAAACAGCCAGCGTTCCTTTTCTTAATCGATATATGATTCATGTCTGATCCTGTTTCTGCTTGTGTATTTCATGAATCACAGGGCCAAAACACCGCTCGATCCCTCAGCCAGTGGAACCAAAACTCCTGTGTCCAAATGGCGTTTACTCCGTACAGAGTATGTGCCTATCTTTTGTCATTTTTCCTGTATAATTCACATGTAGCATCATGAAAGAATATGCAAAAGCAACAAGAATTCTCACATATGGACATAAACATCTGAATTAATGGTTGTGTGGGACTCACGTAGCGCCGCTCGTTTAGGACTTTGAGTTCTTATGATTTTCCCTTCTCCCAATTTGGCCAGTTGTTCAAAGTTTTTGAGTGCCTGCAGAAACAAGGCTAGGTCACCATTTTCATCGGCCCCTATCACTTTAAGAACCGAAGAAAGAGCTGCAAGTAGAAAGAAGGCAAGGGTTTTTCCTATTTCTTTGTTATACATGTTCCCGAATTCTAATCATATCTAATTTATATGAGATAGAGTTACATATGTGGTTAAAGTTCTAATCGATGTCATGTTCTTGTTCACCGCTTACAGAAGCTCGAAGAAAAGTTCAATGCGAATGAGGAACGAAAGGTGCAGGTGCAAAGAAAACTCAAGGTTGCTCTCTCATTACCAAGCTTCTTCAATCCTTTCTCATTAGAGCTGGTTTTGTTTACAACTTTGGCTTAATACCTTAATCGCTATCGTTATGCAGGAGAAAGAAGAAACAGAAATTGGAAAGTACCGTCAAACCCTTTGCTTCAAGGCGAGGCCGCTTCCTGATTTCTATAAAGAAAGAAAATCACCAAAGAATGAGATACATAAGGTAAATGTTTGTCCTCACCAGTTCAAATGCTCCTCACTGAAAGCCAAAAGGTTGTTCAATGTTCGGTTATTTTCCCCGCTTCCTTCCTGCAGGTTCCAGTTACTCCTCAGTCAAAGAACCCAGGGAAAAAGCCCGCTCCAAGCACAGTTGAGAGCTCAACGTCTCTACCACCTAATGGAGCTTCAATCAAGAGCATTGGCTCCAAGAATGTCCAAGGAAGGAACGACCGAACCCCAGGAAGGAACAACCGAACCCCAACCTGTTCTCTCATTTCACGATCCTTTAAGACTGCTCGCGAGAATACATCTCCAAATATTCAGCTTGGACAACATAAGCTTGAAAACAAGTTCCTGTTGGAGCAGAAGTGAGACGTATCAGTCCTGAAAGCTTCGAGCAACTTTCAGATAGTCTTTGATCACACCGCTAAACAAAATGAGTTTGCCTGAGTCCTAGAAATCGCATAGAGATTGCGCGCAAATTCGTTCTTGTATGACGAGTGTAGTTTGCAGCTAGTATTAGTGGACAAAGATTTGTAAGATCTTTCCATTGTTACTTGTACCACGATCTGTTTAAACTCTAGTAAATGTAGAAATACTGGAAAGCAGCAAACATCTGGAATTTCTGCTCTTTGAATCTCATAAGTTTTTTAGTATCGATTCAAAATTATGATAGCAGGGATTCAAAATTATAACCAAGAAAATATAACTGCTGATTGAGTGATATTTGTGCAGCGTTCTTTCATGTCTTCGGGAAAGATTGTGCAGAATTTACATGAAATCAGTCTTATGATCGGTTGGATATAACTTTGAGTGGAGAGAAAAATAAACAGATAATTATATACGACGACTATCTCTACCAAATATAAAAACTGCGTCGAAATTAAGAAATAAAATTTTCATCATTATCAGTAACTTGTACATCAAGGATTCAATGAGAAAGCAGAAGGAAAGAAGGAAAGGATGTTGACTTCATCCACATTAGAAGGAAAATAAACAATAATTAAACCACTAATCACGTTTGTGGCACTAAGCACCAACCATCATCTTCCTCAATTTGATGATCAAGCACGTACTCCACATTAAAGAAACCCATCTCTTCATAATCACCATGATGATGATCAACATAATTTTCTACCGTCCGATCATCATTTCCATCATCATAATATCCAGTTGCATAACCATTGATTTCATGACCATCATCGCCATCATCATGGTCATTCTCATAATCGTTAGAGAGATGATCCAACATCTCCGTGGCGGACAAACCCAATTGATTATTCAAGCCGGTTTGCCCGTCCACGACCCGCCAAGTGACCAACCGATGATTGGAAAGAACGTCGGACGACTTGAGCTTTTGGTTGCCCTTGGTCTTTTCCTTGGCCTTGGAAGCCGGGTGAATGTGACACCCGGTGCACTTGGACTTGCCGCACTTGCCCGTGAACTTGGAGTGGTTGGTGGGCTTGGTTGGCACCTTGGTGAACAACCCGGCCGTGGGCAGAGACTCGAACTTGTTGACGTGTCGGGTTGCCGGTCTTGGGTTCAACGGTTCCGGTAGGATCCGGTATGTCCGGACCATCCCATGCTGGCGACCCTCCCTCTTCATGGTTGACAAATTGGGGTGTGGGCTAATGAAAAAGATGATGGAGGGGTTGACGTTTTGCTTCTGGTTATATAGTGCAAATGAAAACTTGGGAAGCACGGTGTCGTTTGGTGGGTAGATATTTCGTGTTGGCCAAGCCATTGACAAAATTGACAACTCATTTGCTTTGACCTTGGAATTTAAGGGTGGTTTTAAGCCTAATCAACATTTATTAATTGCATTAAAAAAATTTCATTAGCACCCCACGTAATGTTGAATACACCCCGAAATTAAAATTTAATATTAAATAACTTATAACAGTAATATGCAATGACAATATCAACCTTATGATGTTTTCACATACACATCAATCACATCTAACGTATATATTCCAATATTATCTATCGCTTTCAACTCTCAAAATCACTCTCACCTCCATTATAGAACAAAACTGCTGGTAAAACTGGACACCACTGTTGGTAAGAATATAATCACTGGCTAAATTGCATTGTTGTATTACTACAGAAGATCAATTAAACTTGAGATCGTTTAGTAATTCATACTCATAGAACAAGTAGATGATTCATCGTGAAAATGCTAGTTTTTTCCAAACTCATCTTTTTATTTTATGAACACGGGTGATTAAATACGGTGAAGATACATTAACTATGAATGAACGAGAAAAAAGGTTCATCCATGACTTGTACAAAAGTTTTGATGAGATGTGAGCCGCAAGGCAAAGGGAGGTACTTTGAACTGCAATATTTAGGATTAATCTCAATTCCTTTCCCAAGAACTCACATAGCTCCTACGATTCACGAACTCTACAGGAAGCAACAAGCTCATGATTGTGCTTTTCTTCAAAGTTTGAGTGACATGGTTTTTACCAATTAAACCGAAAAACCAAATTAACCACAAATCACGCTTGTGGCACTAACGACTAACCTTAAACTTACTTTGCTAATCCATCACATAATCGCTAGAGAGATGATCATCGCCCGCCATCATCTAGTATATAACTTGGGTTTGGAGTTCATGAAAGCTCTCGAGCCTTCGGCTATCAGTTTACCCCGAAAGAATAACAGTACAGTAAAACTAGCAGTACATAACATATAATTGAATTGCATAATGTTCATACATTGTGGCTGCTTTTGATGCTCCAAATACATGTTTGTTTTTATTTCCCTGTAGACAAACAAAGTAAAATACAAGAGACAATCGAAGGCTGACTAAATCTTACATACCAGATGTAAGCTAATATCATACATGTTGAGAGGCAGGCCAAGCCAAGCTCATAGCTCTAAACGTTTTCTGAAACTGAGTCATCGGAAGACTTGACAAGCGGTTCTGTGCTCTCCTTATTGATGATTTTAGGGGAGATCAGAGCTTTCTTTCCACGATACAGCACGAAATGTTGACCCATGAATAGAAGGTCAAAGAATATAGATATCTGAAAGAGCAAAAACCGTCCACGTATAAGAAAGAGGCATAAATCGTTTAAAGAAAGAGACACAAATCAACTTAATCAAGACGTAGATATCAGTCCATACCAAAGACAGCAAAGTCTTTCCTATATTTCCATAAAAGTTCACCCAAGAATCTGGAAACGTGCACAAGTTAAAAACAAATTAAGCACGAAGGATTGAGGCTATTGAACTGCAAATATCATTGGTTGAGGAAGAGATGATGAACCTTGATCTATAGACTGCATGGCCATTTGTGCATAATTAGCCACCCCTCCAGAAAAGTCAAGTAAAATGTTGCCAATGCTGAATCCATCTGTACTCTTCCGCAAAAAGTTCATGACCGCCTAATTACGAAATGTATTTGAATCAACACAGGCTTACTGTTTCTTCATGATAAAATACTAATAAGATACGGGTTCATTCAGCAGTAACAGTTCCTTTCTTTTCTTCATTTCCTGTACATCTATATACTCTAATTGAAGTGATATCGAATGTATAAAGGCTATTCACAATGACACGGCATGGGCAATCCATTGATAAATGAGTACTGAAACATGAGAACTTTGATAAGGGCTATAGAGTATAGAAGTCAATATTAACCTGGGGAATATATTTTATGCATGTCATAAAAACTTGAATTGAGCTGCAACAAAACCAAAGAATTGAAGTTAGAATGAGAACTTTACACAAATACGACTATCACATAATAGAAGAAACCAGTATGAGCAAAATAAACTGAATAAGTTTTGAGGCAACAGAAAGTAAATAGATCTTGAGATCTGCACTGCTACAAATCATTCTAATTTGGATGGGGGTGGTCAGGTCTATCCGTTTATGCATAATGAGGACTGAGGAGATGAAACTATTGATGGTCCCCCGAGGAGATGCACATAACAGAATTTCCAATTAAGAAAGAAGCTGACTTTAAAATGCATCCCAAAGCATTGATGAGTTATTAAGTGAATGTCATGATTTCAACTGACAACATTGAAATTCGAGGCACAGAAACGTAATGGAAAGAATCTTACTTGAAAATGGAGATCAACCAAAGCCAGGAATGGCTTGGCAAAGCTAAGAAAACACAAACTGCAGCACCTAACCACACAGCAGCAACAATTCCAATGGAAATCTTGGAGACCTTCTGATTTCCGCGCTGCATAAAGCCATCAACGAAAGGTCACATACAAAAGTTGCCATGACAATGACTATATGACTAACATCAGGATGCGAACCTATAACACAGATTTTAAACGAAAACTAGGGAAAACAAATCAAGACACGTACTTCATAGATTAATATTTGGTACAGGGTAATTGCCGTCAGTAAAACAGCATGAATAGAGAAAGCAACATCATTTGCTGCAACAGGTATCATCTGCAATAATAGGACAAAAAAGATTAGTACTTCCAAGTATACACAAATGACCTCTCAATTCAATCTCTCCCATATGTCCTTCCTTTCAGAGAAAAAAGGTCGTACCCAGTGCACAAGGCTCCCGCTTTACGCAGAGTCTGGGAGAGGTGAATGTCGGCTAGCCTTACCCCCATTTATGGAGAGGCTGCTCCCAAGTCTCGAACCCGAGACCTACCGCTCATGGGCAAAGGCACTTGCCATCGCACCAAGTGCGACCTCTTCCTTCCTTTCAGAGAGGACCGACTAATTTGATAATTTTGAGATTCCAGATGCCGCAAGTCGTGGGTTGAACTTCTACTCTCAGTACTTAGAGTAGGCATGAAATTATTAAGATTTACGTGCTAATAGCAAAACACACAACCAACGAAGGGGACCGGACAGCTTTCTGAAATGTAAATTTCTTTACGGACTCAGAATCCAGTGTACCATATGCAACCAATCTCCAAGAACCCCAAATAAACCAAGTCTATTGAGTTTCGTCTAAAACTGATACATTACATTCGTTGTGTAATCTACAAACTTGCATCAAGTGTCAAAATTTAAGCTGAGCTAATTAACCCCTTTGCTATTCGACCGAAATACAACCTACTCAATTGTGAAATGTAAATTTCGACACGAAAAATCGAAGCTTTGCGAGTGGATACGAAGAACACAGCAGCTGGGAATATAAAAAACGATCATATGAACAAGTAGCTAGTTGGGGGAGAGCGAAAACAGAACAAACCTGTTTCTCGCCGTACTTTTCGAAGTACTGCTTCTGAACGGCGGAGCTGAAGTAGAGAGTGGCGTTGTAAATGAGGTAAGAGGAGTGCTTGGTCAAATTCAGCACCACGAAATCGAAGTTCAGACCCACCACACTGAAATCCAAACACAAATTTTCAAAACCCACCATCCAAAAATTAACAAAGAAAAAAACCCATTTCGAATAAATAATCTTGATTGGAGTCGAATTCCGGAGAAAAACAGAGACGGGAATTAATCACCTTTTCCGGCGGAAATTCAAAACGACTTGCGGATAGAAGCTGACGGACCAACTCACGAACGCCGCCCATCCCATCACTTCGTATATGATTTCCAGAGGAATCGAATTCCACGACGCCATTCTTTCCCTCTCTCCTCCCGATTCCCACTTAGCCGGCGGCGGGAGGATTCCGAGCAGCCTTAGATTTAGTCCGGTCAAAAGCGCGCGGACAGAGCAAGAGTGAGAAGAAAGAAAGGGTTTTTTTTTTTTTTTTTTTTTTTTTTTTTGTTGTTGCAATGCAATGCAATCGCTTCGACTTTTCGGATTTCAACTGTAATTCGCCAGTCCGTTCCATGTGGGCCCCGCTCGATGACGTGGCTCGAGCTAGCGACGTACACGTAACTTCATGGAGCTACGATTGGTGTTTTTTTTTTATTCTCCAAAGTTTCTGTAGGAGGGGTGAATTAGGCCATCTTCGCGGGCACGTTCATTGAGCTCTTTCTGCAGTGCCCATGATTTACAGTTTCTGTTTTTAACGTGTATCATGGCTTGGTTGCTCCGTTATATACATGCTAATGGGGCAAGTACGTTTCTTATTGCGGTTCACCTTCATATTTTTTACGGTTGAGTTACAGAGAGTATAGCTAAGTTTGAATCTCTATTTACGGTTAAGTTTGGATTTGTATATTTTCAGTTAAAATATATTTTGAGTACTAATGTTAGAGAGAATATTTGTTGTACCACGAATGAAAAATAAGTGTGAATCTCCTATTTCGTTTGTTGTCCTCGTAATACAAAAAAAATTGTTCTTTATAATAAAAAAAAGTTGTCGAAGTATTTTTTTAATAAAAAATTGTTTTGTGAAGGACTTTTTATTAGTCTTTAAAAGAAACGGTGCATGTGATGTAAAATATGAAAGATCAAAGTCAAAATAGAATAAAGAAAAATACGATGTTCAACAAATAACCTTAACAAAATGCAAAATAAAACATATTGATTTTAAGACGGGAGGCGTTTTAGGTTTCAACTGTAAAAACGCTTAAAATTGTAAAAATGCTTTGACTTTTCAAATTTCAATTGTAATTTGCCAGTCCGTTCCATGTGGGCCCCACTCGATGATGTGCCTCCACCTAGCAACATACACATAAATTTCCTCGAGCGTGACATCAAGTATCAAGTAAAGATAGGTTTGAGAAAGAACTCAATCTTAAATAATTAGTGGTGCATTGT